CCCGGTTGCCGACGCCGTGAGGTGAAGCCGCGCTCGCCTGGTTGAGGGGGGTCTGCTGAAAGGCCGTGAAGAGGTCGCCGTTCTGGGCGACGGGGCCCAGCAGGGTCTCGACGCTGGCGAAGCCATCACCAGCAGGCGTCTGGACCTCGCCCGGCACGAAGTTGCCAACGACGGCGCTCGTGGCGAGCTGAGCGAGAGCGTCGCGCTGGTCGGCGTTGGTGGGCTGCAGCTGTGGCGGCAAGGCGTCGACGCCGCGGGCAATGGCGACGAGCGAGTCGGCGAGCCGTAGGTTCGTCGCCTGGAACCGCGGCGCGTCCGGGAACAGCTGGGCAAAGAGCTCGAACCCGGCAACGACGAGGCCGCCGCCGTTGGCCGACAGGTCGATGACGAGCCGGTCCTTGTTCTGCCTGCTGCACTCGGCGAGAAACGACGCTACGGTCGTCTGAAAATCGGTCAGGTAGTCGAGCGTGCCGATGGAGCCGCCAGGCGCGAAAGACGATACTGCGAGCACGGCTGTCGTATCGAGGCCCGGCCCTTGCATGAAGTAGCCAGACGTCGTGTCGGAGCCGCCGTCACGAACGACAGGCGCAGGGTAGCCGGGCAGAGAAGGGCGGGTCGTATTCGGCGGTGGCGAGGGAGGCTGCTGCGGCTGCTGAGGCTGTTGAGGTTGCTGCGGCGGCTGTCGAGGCCTCGTCGGCGAGTCGGGGTTGCAGAACCTCTCGTAAAAGTCCTCACCGTTGCGGATGCCCGTCAAGTTCGCCGCGGCCCGGACGAGGGCCCAGCTCGGCTCCGTCCTCTCCTGGCCGTTGTCGTAGGTCAGGGTCAACGAAGGGCCCTGGAAGGCAAGCGAAGCAGACAGTGTGAGGGCGGCGTCGGGGCTCGCGTAGGTCGGGAACATGGAGTTCCACTGCGAATCCTGATCCTGAAATCCGCTGAAGCGCAGATTCGTCTCCTCAATGACCGCGTTGGCATCTTGGCCGTTGATGCGGACAATGGCCGGAGGGAAACGGCCACCCTCACCACTGCTGCCGTTGGACATCATGGACGAGTGGTAGAGACGCGGCGGCTCCTTGCCGTCCCTCGACACAGAAATTATGTCGGATGCGAGGCCGTTGACAAACGCGAACCCCTTCAACACATCGCCACGGTAGTTGAAGTGGCCGTCGTGGGCCGAGGCGAACGTTTCGAGGATGGCCAGCTGAAAGTTGTACTCGCTGCCAAAACCACCAGCGGCCGCCGTGCGTCCAATATCGGCGAGGGCCCCTTCGATATCCGCCGGCGGCAGCATGTAGGTGGCTGGCGGGTTCTTGAGCCAGGCGAGGGTGCTCTGCCACTGGACGTAGGCCTGCAGACTCGTGATGAGGCGCTGCGCCTGCGCCGGCTTGTTGGGCACCGACTGGAGGCAGTCAAAGGCGAGCTGGGCGGCGACTGTGGGCACCGCCGCCGGATCGCGAGCGCGGACGGCATCGGCCTCCTGGGCAACCTGGGCACAGGCGCTGGGGTTCGGCGTGCCGGGGACGGCCGGCGGCGTCGGCAGCTGCGGGTTCGGCTGCAGCGGCTGCGGTGGTTGCGGTGGTTGTGAAGGCGGCCGCGGTGTCGAGGGCACCACTGGGATGAACTGCGGACTGGCGCCGGCCAAGCTGATGGCCAGTGTTGCCCAGAGGAGTAGTAACCTTGCCATGCTGAAAAGACCATTAGAAGTAGATGAAGACGAAGATGAAGATGAAGATGAAGATGAAGATGAAGATGCAGAAAAGTTGAAAGTCGGAACCGCTCGCCCCATTGCGCGTATCCTCTGGAGCCAGCTCCGCGTCGTCGCACCCAGGCGGAAGCAGGGTCAGAGTACGAGGGAACCAAAAAAAAAAAAAAAAAAAAAAGTGAGGGGATTCCGAAGATCGACGAAAGAGCGAAAAGAACAAAAAGAAGAAAGGGCGAAGAAACGACCCAACGACACTCTCAATCCCAATGCAACATGGATTCAATAGACCGGTCAATCAATCCAAACCGCCAACGTCTTGCACAGCACACTGGTGCCCTCATCACGCGTGGAGCAGAGGCCAACCTTTTTGAGGCACGTTGGGCAGCGCGAGCTCAGGCCTGCCACCTGAAGCCATCATGAAACGTCGTTGTGGTGAGCGGGAAACCCCTGGACCTCCACGGGCCCCCGGGATCTCGCACCTATTTTTGCCCAGTTCCCCCTCTTTGCCTCTATGCACTGTCGTCCTGCCTATGATGACTTTTCCGAAAAGCCCTGTGGCAGCCACCGTGTCGGCTGGTCATGATCCGCGGGGTTTCACATGCGCTGCCTGTCGGGGCGGGGGGGCATGAAGCTGGAACATGGCACGTTGATGCTGCCATGTGTGTCGCTGCTTGTGTGTCGCCGCTGTGCCTCGTCCACGCGAGCGGCCGGGGGAATAACGTGGTTCTATTGAGTTGAATGGGTCGAGCGACAGACAGCTAGTGTCTTGTGCGCATAAAGTAAGCCAAGTAAGTAAGGGTTGCCACCCAATCTGACAAGGTCAGATCTCCAATTCCCGGGTCAGAGCCTGATCCTCGACCTCTCTCTGCGCTTACACCTCGAGCATGATGCTACCTGCAATCTGACGGCCAATCGCCCATCACGCCAACAAGATACCTAGGATGCCTGCAAAAAGCCCTGTGACCCCGGCCATCTCCCTGGCCCTGCCGGCTGCGCTGTCGGCATCATCCCCGTTCGCCGTACCTCCTCCGTTGCCCTCCGTGGCCCCCGTCGCCTGCGGGCCCCGGCTCGTTGCCGTTGTGCACTCGGCCGTGCAGGGCAGCGCCGACGTGAAGGGCACATCGGCCGCCGTGCCCGTACCGCTCGCCTCTTCCTCGGCAAATGTAAACGCCGGAGCCTGCGCCGAGGCCGTGACATCGGGCTTGGCACCGCCCTCGTCGACATTGAGGACGGCATCGACGACCTGGATGATGCCGTTGGCGATGAGCAGATCCGTCTGGATGATGCGCCCCGTGTCGACATAGATGTCGTTGATAAAACGTGTCACGCGCACCTCCGTTCCCTTTGTCGTCGCCCGTCGCCAGCCGCGTGCCATCCTCGAGGTTCGCCGCCCGCAGCACCCGCCCCGGCACGAGGTGGTATCGCAACACACGGCGCAGCTCTTCGCGACCCATGGATTCGAACCCAGCCCCAAACCGCTGCCACGCAGCGTTGTGGGGTGCCAGGATGGTCGAGTTGGCCGTCTCGGCGAACTCGTCTACGAGTTCCGCCCGGTACAGCGCGCCGAGGAAGCCCGTGAGGTCTGTATACGAGTCACGAATCGAACCTTCAAGCCGCCGTGGCGTCACCATGAGCGACTCGATAATCTGCACGAGGCCGCCGTCAAAGGGCACGTCGGCCTTGACCACTGTGACATGAGTGCCCGCGCCCGACGTCAGTACCACCTCGCCTCCCGGCTGCACTGTGACGAGCACCTTTTGTCCATTTGTCACATTGGCGAATCGTTTGTCTGTGAGGAGCGTCGGGATGGTTTGCGTGTCACCCGGTGCGAGCTTCTCGAGCGCGTGGCGGCCCGAGAGAATGCCGTACTGAAGCCACTTGGGGATGCTCGACTCGTCCGAATCCCAGCCCTGCCCCTTGACGAACGCGCCGTCGTTTGGCGCGATGATCTGTCTCGTTAGTCGTCGGCCCCCCCCAAACCATGCGCGCGGCACACCAAACGTACAGTGACGCCGTCCTTGGGCAAGTCTGTGTATACATCCTGGTTCTCCTGCACCAACCTGCGGAACGTTGTGAGGTTGGCCTGTCCCGCCAGAACCGATCCCAGGCTCTGGGCGGAGACGGATGGGGCCGTCACGAGCCACAGCGCGGCGGCTAGGCGAGTCAGATGTCTCGCGCCGCGCATCGTGTCGTGTAAACGCAGCGGCGGGTCGATGCTGATGTCTGATCCGACTGTCGTGGGATGAGATGCCGGGTTATCATCCACGGACGTGGGTGGCAAGAAGTCTCCCGTTCTTGTCGTAATTGGTTCAACACGCGGTCGGGAAGCTCGTCAGCTCGCGATCGGCACGAGGAAGCCCCCCCAAGAGGTGCAGAGACTACGAGGAAATGAGTGACTGAGCCTGTGTATGGCAGCGTGTCGCCCCAGCTGCCGAGATTGAAGCAATCGCACGCGCGCCAAAGAGTGAAGCCGTCAACAGACAAGACAGCAGGTCGACACGGCCGCACCCGTCGCGGGCGTCCATCGTCTGTATTAAAGCAACGACACCCTCACCTCCCAACGGGGACTTCCAGGTCCTCACGCTCGAAAGGCAGCCGAATGAGACTTGGCAATCCGGCTCGTGCATGAACACCCCAGTCCATGTCAGACGACAGCCAATCCGGGGATTGGGGGTCGCACAACGCGAGATTGCCGTGAGCTTTTAGATCTCCCTTTTGGGATATGGTTTCGCTGTAGGATCTGGTGTCGCAGGGGGCCGCTGTCGGTGATTTGTCCAACGGCAGGCGAAAAAAAAATAAAAATAAAGGCGCTTCCCCTCTGGCCGTTCCTTTGTTTTGCCCATGTCTGCCGTTTCAGCCGCTACGGGCCATGGTGGAGGGGTAATGCTGGAGGGCCGGCCTGTTTGATGTCTGAACTCAGTTTGAATATGGGTTGCATTGTTGCATCACAGCGAGGCTGGGCTGTCGCGTCCGACAACGTCAGCTCAGCGCTCGCTCTCGGTGAGCTCTCGCCGCAGGAGTCATTGGCCGCGGCTGAATGAACCTTGCGCCGCCATGCGACTGTTCGTCAGTGCCGTGCGCTGGCCATCAATAAAACGGCCGCCCCCATGATCATCCAGGGCTGAAGTAACGCCGACCGATCAACCCTTGTCAGTCCCTCACACATCAAAAATGACAGCTCTCGATCACAGCTCGCCAACTCCGCCGCGACAGATACGGGCAGATTTCGACGACACCACCATTACCTTGTATCAAGCGTACAGTGCTGCCATTGCGGAACCTGCAGTGGCAGCACAGAAGCTGACGGCCGCGCCATCGTTCAAACCCACCCGCATGACGTGGGTCAAGCCGAGCTGGGCGTGGATGCTGTATCGAGCTGGGTATTCATTCAAAGATGCCGGCCAGGAGCGCATCCTTGCCCTCAAGATGCGCCATGCCGACTTTCTAGCGCTTCTGCGCAGAGGCGTCCTCGCGTCGCAGGCGACAACTGCTGAGGGCGAGGTGCGTGTGCAGTGGGACCCTGAGCGCACGGTGCGGTTGGATAAACTGCCACACAGGAGCATACAGATTGGCATTCCGAGAGGTTTAAGTCAGCAATGGGCCGACGAATGGGTCGTCGGGATCGAGGACGTCACCGACAGGGCGAGGAAGCTGAAAGACGTCCTGGATGTAAGACCGGGCGTCTCCAACGCGGAGCTGCTCGAAATGGGCCTTGTACCAGCAGAGAGAGTGTATCAGGTGCCAGAGGATGTCATACGAAGATTATGCATGGACGAAACCCCCACGGTGAAGCCAGAGGGCCGGGCTTGATGCCGTGGGGGGGAAAAACAACGCATACTATAAGGATGATGGAAACGCGGTGGATTATGTCTCCTCGTCACCAGAACCCTTGAACTACTCAAAGTGGAATCACGCTTCTGCATTCGCAGCAGTCGTCTTCTGAGCGACATGTGCGCTCGGCGGTTGCGACTTTTGTTGACGGCCCGGACTTCGCACCATCTACTAAAGATCTTTCTTCAGGTCGTGTTCCTGCAGAGTGTCAGCTTCGAGCGCTCCACGGTAGCCTGCAGATACCTACCGGCTTGTGACTCGTCTCGTAGTCAATATGCACGTAAGCTCTCTCCACGCCGGGGAGCTTCTCAATCTTGATCTGCAGGTCCTCAGCGACGTCGTGGGCAATCTCAAGGCGCTCGTTGCGGTCCATGACCACATCGATTTCGACAATGTAACGCGGTCCGCTGTGGTAGGCGCGAATCGTGTCAATCTGCTTGATGTCGGGAGAGTGCGTAGCGGCAATGTAGGTGATGAGCTGCAGAAACTCGGGCTCGGCCGAGACGCCAATGAGGAGCTGGAACTCCTCGTAGGCGGTCCGCAGCCAGAGCGAGGCGATGATGACGCAGAGAATGATGGCGCCCATGGGATCAATCCACCACTTGATGTTGCTCCCGGCGGCGAAGGTCAGGATGCCGAAGCCGTTGACGGGCAGGTCGTTCCGGTGGTCGCGCCACAGAATCTCGACTTGGGAATACAGGTGCTTGATGGACCAGCAGTAGAAGAAGAGGAAGAGCTTGGTGCCAAAGGCGATGGAGACGGCAATGACGCTGGGAAAGTGGAACTTGTTCGTCTCCTCCTCGGAGCCTTCGGCCAGCTCGCGCGCCGACATGACGATGAGGACGAGCGAGACGGAAAACATGATGAAGCTGAAGACAATGTTGCCGACGGTGGAGATGCGTGCTCGGCCGGACGGGTACTTGAGGGGGTCGACCTTTTTGACGGCGCGATGGGACAGCATCAGCATGAGGCCAGACAGAGGGTCAAAGATGGAATCGGCCATGGTGGTGAAGAGCGAGAGGGAGCCGGAGCTGGTGGCGGCGTAGAGCTGCAGCCCGGCCAGCACGCAGTTGGCGGCGAGGCTGCCCTTGACGGCAATCTGGTAACGAAGGTTCGTGTCGCCTTGCGACTCCTTTGCCTCGCGCTCGTGGTCGTCGACGCTCTTGAGAAGCGTGCGGATCTTGTCATTCTGGGTGCGGTAGAAATCTTGGAGGTCACGCTCCCGGCGCGCAGCATGAGGCCGCGTGAAGGTATGAATACGCTTGCGGGGCGCTGTTCTGGGGGATGCGACCAATGTCGGATTCCGACTTGATCTGGGCGCCGAGCCCGTACGGGTCGTTGATCTCGGAGTAGTTGGAGCGTGCCTCGGCGTCGGACGGGGACGCCGTCATGTGTGGCGCGACACCTGCGGGGGAAGCAGGAAGCGCAGAGAAACTGCGATGGCCAACAGCTGCGGCGGCGGCTGCTTGGGCGTCGGCGTCTGGATGATAGTCATACTTGACGGGGTTGGAGGACACCATGATGAGAGGCGTGGCCACCGCCAGGTGTCGACAAAGGTGTCGAAGTTGTAGGGTCTATGACAGGTGCAGGTGATAGGAAGAGGACAACCGCCGCCAAGACGAATGGCTGATGCCAGAAACAGCAACAACCTCGACGCGTGAAGCTTGGGAATTGAGGCTTGGTATTGCAAGTTGACGTACAACCAAAGTTGAGGTGTACCCAAAGCCCACGTCAAAGGGGTGTCGACGCGTGAAGCTCGGGACTCGAGGCTTGCTATTGCAAGTTGACGTACAACCAAAGTTGAGATGTACCCAAAGCCCACGTCAAAGAGGTGAAGTCGAAGCGAGCCTGGATCGAGGGAAAGGTGGAAAAGGGAAGGAACAGGCGAGCGAGATCTGGAGGAAGGAGCCGGGGGACGCTATTTGAGGGAAGCCACAGCCGTTATGGTTGTACCTGCCAACGTTCGGTACGGTACCTCCTCCTCCTCCTCCTCCTCAGTTTCCCACGTGGGGCCTTCGAGCCTTCGACTGGACTGTGAGCCTGTTTCTGCGCACTCGGCGGGTGTGCGTGACGCAGGCCACCGCTGCTCTGCCTTGCCCTGCGCATTGCTAATCACCGATCCAGCGCGGCATCCGATGGGACCGAGGGAGGGCGGCAGACCCAGACTTGGCTCATCGTTACGTCTTTTGGCTGTGGTACCCCAACGCTTTGCTTGCTTCCTGTGGCGTGTGGGGCCCGCAGATCGAGGCTGTGCCCGGAGCTAGGCTCGTCCCTGGCAAGCGCGGCAAAACCTGCCTTGAATTTTGGCTGTGGACCTGGCTCGCCTGCCTGATTGAGATGTCCCATGTGCGGGGGGGGGGTGAACGTCTGACCACTGACGGCTGGATGCCGAGATGGTCATCCTGAGGATGAGTCAGCCCATGAAGAGCCATCGTAGGTAGTTGCTGACGGGCTTCTCAACTTCCACTTCAATGCACCTTATTCTAAACCATCGATCGCGACCATTCATCCCTATCCGATCTCATCATTGAGAAGCAGTCTGCACCGAAATGGACGCATCATCAGCCCCGCATGCGCATCCAAGGCTTGGATGGATAGGTACATCGGAGATATAGACCCGGTCAAGGTGAAGAGCTAACCGCGCAGGCCTCGGATCCATGGGCCTGGGAATGGCGACGAACCTACAGAAGCATCTGACCCACCTCGGCGCACCTCATCTGCAATTCTATAACCGCACCAAGTCTCGCGGGCAAGTCATCGAGGCCCTCGGCGCTGTCCCTGCTCCCTCCGTGGCGCACCTGGTCACATCATCCGACATCGCCTTTCTTTCCCTCAGCAACGATGACGCTCTCACAGAGATCATCGACAGACTCCTTGCAGATGCCGGCAGCGACATTTCGGGCAAGATCATCGTCGACACGTCTACCGTGCATCCCGCCACGTCCACAGCTGTTCAGTCCCGTCTCGTGGAGCGAGGGGCCCAGTTCATCGCCGCGCCTGTCTTCGGTGCCAGCCCCGTGGCTGCCGATGGCAAGCTCCTCTGGGTCATTGCCGGTCCCGAGGCTGCCGTGCAAGCCGTCGCCCCTTTTATCGTCGGTGTCATGGGACGGGCCATCATTCGCCTGGGCAATGATGTCTCTCAGTCGAGCATGCTCAAGACGGCAGGGTTGGTTCCTCTCGTGTTTTTTGGCGTGTCTTGACGTCCGCTGACATGTTCAGGAACTTCATGACCGCCGGCATGATGGAACTCGTTGCCGAGGCTCATGTTTTTGCAGAAAAGACGGGCCTGGGCGCAGACGCTCTCGCGTCTCTTATCGAGCAGCAATACGGACCACTCGCCCTTTCCATGTCGAAGCGATTAACGACCGGCGCATACATGCCCGCACGAGACGAGAGGCCTTTTTCAGACCTGACCCTGGCACTGAAGGATGTTGGCCATGGCATTGACGTGGCCACGAAGGCGGGGACGCGTCTACATGTTGCTGAGGTGGCTCTGGATCACCTGAATGAGGCAAGCCGGTTCTCTGCAACCGAGGGCTGGCCTCTTGACTCGTCTTCCATGTATGGAGTCATCAGGCAAGAGGCCGGCCTTCCATTCGAGACTGATTATGTGAAGCAGAGGGACTCCTGAGATGTTGGGGCAAGTCGGGCGTTTCTGAAGTCGGCGAAAAGATGGCGGAACGACCATGTCAAGATTCATACGCATCGCACCTAAATTGGAAAGCTTAGTTGCGCTGTGCTGTGGCCGACCAAATTCCGTCACGCACGGCAACCATTTGTTCTAAGTCTACGTATATCTAGCAACCCTAATACACCAAGTCGACGCCTCATGCCGAGCAAATGGACAGGACGTCGAAAGAAAAGCATCATGCCTCGTTCGTCATGCCCCGTTGCTTCTCCTGCTACCATAACCCTGATCCTTCCATTGACGTGTCGTGCAGCAGATCTAGTCTATCGAAATATCGCTGCCAGAATCGCTGCCCCCCTCGGCATCCGCAATCAGCTTGCGGAAGACAGCACCCATCACCTCAACAACCTGCGTCACGTCAGGACCCTCGGGCACCGAGCCCAAGACCTTCTTCCGCGCCTCCTCGCCCTCCTTCCTCGTCTCCTTGTCCTCTTCAGTCTCGCCAGCATCATCCGTCGCGCCCGGCTTGCCCTCCACCGTCTTGTTCTGCACATCCTTGCCCCGCCGCACCGCCCCGTCAGGCGTCGCCGGCGTGATGAGCGTGCTGTCGAGCAGCGCCTGCCACGACACGAGAAAGATGCCCGGCCCCGCCATGGTCGACGACCCGCCGTCGATGATCTGCTGCATGCGCCCCATGGACAGCGCCTCGAGCGCGTCGAGGTGGCCGGCGTGCGCATCAAGGACGGGCAGCAGCGGGCCCCGCACCTCCTCCGACAGCGCGGCGAACGCGTCCGCCATGCTCTCGACCATGGTGCCTTCGACGTGCGCCGACGAGCCCGGCACCGCGACCTCGACGCCCGGCTTGCGAAAGTGCACGACCGCCTCCTTGGCCCAGCCCTTGAACACGTTGCGCACCTCGGGCGCCTGCGCCGCGCCGTGGTGCATCCACCGGTAGAGCATGTGCCTGTTCTTGCGCAGCAGCGCCACGTAGTCCTCGACCGAGGGCAGCCGCGTCTCGGCGCCCGCGCCGCCCGTCGCTTGCGGCTTGCTCGCGGCGATGAACTGGTCGACGAAGCTCCGGTAGTCCTGCACGTGCTCGCGCAGGTCGATCTTGTCGTGGATGGCGCGGATGTAGGGCTCGAAGCCGCCGACGAGGTCGCGCACCGTCTGCGTGAAGAGGTCCGGCGACTGCGTACACAGGGCCGTCGTCAGCTCGTCGCGGTCGCGAATCGACAGGAGCGCGGCGTAGTATTCCTGGCATTGGGCGTGCTGGTCCGTCGAGAGCTTCGTGGCGAGCGCCGGGTCGGACTTGTTGAGAATGATGGTGATGATGGATTGGGATGACTTTTGGGATTCGTTTCTCGCGCTAGCGCGAACCGAGGCGGAGGCTTTGGCGTGGGCTTTGAGGGCCGCGAGGACGTCACTGCTGGGGGCGTTTTCCCTCTTTTCGATCTTGTCCAGAGTTTTCTTGAACTCGGCGCTGTCCCAGCCGGTGACGACGGATATGATACTAGAAACATAAGCGTCGAACCCGAAAGCGTAAGGCCTCGCACGCACCGTTGCAGCAGATTCATCCCGTCATTGGCGTTCTCGTGAGGCCAAATGTAATTCGAGAAACCACAAGACTCAGCTTTGACAGGAACAGCTTCAGCATCCCGGACATCATGGTAGCGGCATTGCTCATGCGTAATGTTTGGCGGATGACAGCATACGGAAGCATGCCGTGGACGCTCTCAATGAGCTTTCGCAGGTACTCGCCTTCGGGCGACAAGATGAAGACCTGATGGAACAGGGTTGCCAAGCTGGGCCAAATTAGAAAACTCTGCCGGTCCATGAAAGATGGGCGACTCACTGTAAGATGACATACTCCACCGCCGCTGCGATTCTCGGCGAATGCGCCTCGAGGTCGGCCGACTTCTCGACATGGACGGTGATGTCGTCGATCAAGTCACCATATACCACGCCGTACAGCACGTCGTTGAATGCCCTCTCGAGCTCCTTCGCATCCTTGAGATCGTACTTTTCCCCCTTGTCGCTGGCGCCTCTGCTGGCCGGACACCCGCCGAGACATCCCCTGACGAGCGACTCAATCATGGCCGAAAAGGCCGTGGCCAGGGTCTTCCTGGTGCCCATGGCGCCCTTGTCGTAGCTTTCGGACAGGTCAGCAGCCGCCAGGCGCGTCAGGAGACCTTGGACCGCGGACGCTCCAGAATTCCTCGGGAAGATCGCGCAGGCCCGGCAGCGTGAGGAGGAAGCGACGAAGGAGGGTTTGGAGGACGGGCGAGGCGGCGATGGAATCTGTAGATGCCTTTGCGCTCTTGGCGCTCTTCATGCTGCCGTTGGGACTCGTGCTCTTGGCACTCGCCTTGGAATTGCTCCTCGAGCTGTTCCTTGAGCTGCCTTTTGGACTACTGTTGGCGACTGGCGCCTCGGAGGTGAAGGGGTGGCCATAGCTGAGGATGGTATCGGGCTGTTTGAGAGCTTCGATTTCGTCATATGTTTCGTGGTGCGTGAGGATGTTAAAGAGAGCCGCTGTTTGCTTGGCCGTTAAGGCTGGCGAGGGGGTAGACATGGCTTTGGTGAAGAACGTGGTGTGGATTGGAACAAGAAGCGGTCAGATGTCGAGCGTGCTGAGGTATCTATAGTAGACAGAACATGAGGCCCAGTGAGGCTAGTGTTGAGAGCGTTGGAGAGAGTCAGGCCCTGTCCGTGATGGGTATGCTCATCATCGGTTGGGGCGGTTTCAAAGCTCCGGACCGTGGCATGTGGTTTGGAGCGATCTGGAACAAAGGTGGGGGAGGGGTTGAGCCGTTGAGGCACGCCTGGAAACATGACGTCAGCTTCTTCACCGACCCAGGTGTAGTATGCACGGGCCACTAGACCGAGAGGCTCGGTGTAGTTCGGTAAGCATAACCAGACCTTGTTGTCGACTCTAATAAAAGGAGAAGACCAAACGAATGTCTTACTTCCTTCAACCCTCAAGTATCTGCATGCGGTAATGGCGAAGTCATGTGAAAAAATCATGTTAAGATCTTCCAGAAGGAACATCACACACCAAGGTAAGTAAGGCACTCAGGTAGGTAGGTAGGTCGGTACCCAGTGAATAGTACCAGTCTTCCATTCACTTCATCCGTGAATTCAGTAGACGAAATCGCTGATTCACTGATTGTAGGCTCTAAGAAAACTTGTATAAAAAGAACGTTCCCAAGTCTTTCTCTTCAACAGTGTCTCCATGTATATTCTTACTTCCTTCACCAACCCGCACACCTTCTTGACGCTCAACTTCCTCCTAATTGCCAAGTTTCTTCGTCCAAAGGAACTCATTACCAAAAGATCGAAAATGAAGTTCTCACGTAGGCCCACCATCATTTTTTTTTACCTCATCACAGTTACGAAGTTGCTCATCACAACCTCAGGCATCACGGCACTGGGGTTTCTTATGGGCGCCATGAGTGCACTCGCCTCTCCTCTGTCCGGAACTGGTGCCACCAACAGCACTCTGAGCCAAGCTCGTCGCGACAAAACTAATACCTTTTCTATTCGCTCTGCCGACATTGAGACCCCTGAACCTGTCGCATCCCCCGACATCATCAACCTGAAGCCAGCCGCCGGCGAGCTCTCCTCCAACACCCGTAACGTCACCTCGACTCCTGCCCTCGATGTCGAAGACAAAGATTCCAACTGTTCAATCTACTGCAATTTGTTTGCTCACATCATCCGCTGCCTGCAGTCTCCCACTTTTTGCAGGTGTGATAGCAGGGGCTATGTTCACTGCGAGGGACCGTCTAAGGTATGCATGGATAACTGCATTTGCCAGTGTGAGTCCAAGCGTGCTGCTAGGGATGTAGACATCCCCGGCGACCTTGTTGGAGAAGCCCCGGTAGACAAAAAGACTGGATTCGAGGTCAGCGTTTAAAGCACCTTGATTATTATGAAGAGGCCGGTGTCACTGGGCGGGTCGCCGACCTTGTTAATCAGCATCATGAAGCTGGCATACTCTAGACGCGTGGTCTCAACGCAAAAAGCGAAGCTATCAAAACAGCAGCACGAACCGAAGCCTTGAAGTTCTTGAAGATGCTGGGCCAGCTGGCTCAAGTCTGGAGGAGGTGGCGCCTCAGAGCATACCTAGGTAGTAGACTAAAGTCAAAACTTCGAGCTATTACCGCCGAGCTCAGCTTCATGCAAGATCAAGCATTTCTTGCCCTGAAGTTGCCTCAAGTGATGTACCCAGTGGGCAAAGCGCAAGTCATGCCCGCTAATGTGAGCTTGTTTGTGTGCACTTCGAGCGCAACAGCAAAGGTGTACCGAAGATCAATCATGTCTCCCGTACTTTGAGTCTACTCCAGCAGCTACCTAAGCATTCGCCAAAGCCATCACATCTTCAATCTGTGCCATGTTCTCAAGCTGCGGCACCCAATCCACCTTGGTGCCAATGTATACCTCCATGTTGGGCCGCAGTTTTGTTTCCGCCAGACGAAAATCGTCGACCGCGCCAAGCCTGATTATGTAGAATCCCTCCTGTATGGCGCTCATCCGATACATCAAGTTGCCGCAGGTAGCACAAAAGTAATTCGACATCGTCTTGCCTGACGCAGTGGTTTGATGGTGTTGGAAAACCTTGAGATTCTCCTTGCCGCGCAGGAACCGCACAACCTCTCCAGGCACAGAAAATGCCGAGCAGAACATGGAGGAGCTCAATTTGCGACAGTCGGTGCAGTGGCAAACAAATCGGGTTTGAATGTGCTTCTCCTGGGTTGACTGTAAGTGAGTCAGTATTAGAGCCAATATTGGTCGATGGCTTCGACCAGATTCACGACGAACTCCATGTAAGCGTTGGCGGACTTACAAAGGCGAACTGCACAGCACCGCAGAGGCACGTGGCGGTTGCTTCGTCATCGTTGGACCACCCATCTTGGGCCAGGCTGGTGAGGGGAATAAATGGCCCTGGGGTCTTCGGATCGGTTGCAACCATTCTCAATTCTGTGTTGTGCAAGATCTTTTGACTTTACGCAATGTGACTGCGTCTGCAAAACTTAAACTCCAAAACTCAAACTCTATCTTCTGGGGCAATGATATTTATTGGTCTTCGCGCGCTGTGGTGCAAGGACAGAAGAACGAGACCATAACATTCGGACTGATGAGAAATCATGAAGTATGAAGGGTCATGACTGGCTCGGAAGGTTTCGTATCGGCCTTCTGTTTTGGCAGTATTTGCTGACCATGAGTTAGCGCTTCACCGACCGATTCGAAGCAACGCTTGACGGAGTTCACAGCGGACTTTGGTGACCCACTCCGCGACCAGCATTGTGCGTATATTCGTGGACCAAGTCTGTCTCCCGTAACTGGATTGATGGAAAGCAAGGGCCTGCGCCGACATTGCTGGACCAAGTCCGTCTCTTGGAACGGAATCGGAGAACAAGCCGAGGGCCGATGCAAAGTTCAACACAAAAGGGGACTCATTTCTAGCTCTCCCCATGGATGAACATGTTGCCACTCCATCCCCCAGTTCAGAACCCATCGTCACCTCTTCATCGTCCGACTGCTTGTCCTCCTACCTGTCAAAATATATCTCCACGAGACTGGCGACAATTGTCATGACGCATACCATATTGCATCTTACAGGCTGCCGAGCGACCGCAAATCTCTGCAGCTTCATTACAGAAGAGTTATGACACCATGACCAATTCGGCACGTACTGTTTCTCATTGGCTTAGGCGTTTGATGACTCTTACATCGGTAATGAAGCTGTGTCGGCAAGACTTGGGCGTTTCGGGTGTTCTGGCCAACCCTTCGACCCCACGGACGTTGGTTTGCCTCACATTTGATGCAGCGTTTTCCTAAGGCAGCGTGGGTGGCTCGGTCAGATGCGTTCACTGGGCTATGCAAGCCAAATGTGCGCTTGAAGCCCACCTTGATACTTCATAGGCCACATCACGTTGGACCGCACGAGCCGGACTGATGAACATTTCTGTTGTCCATTCAAGGTTGAGATCTAAAACATCTCCCAGGTCGAGCACCAGTATCGGCTGGCAGGTATCAACCCCAGTCGGGGCACTCAGGCAAACACGATTGCTATGGACACTGCTCTCAGTGAGTTCAAGAAGCCTCTGGTCAAGGTCAGGACTCCGCTGTCGCCCTGACTTCTGAACCATCATGAACCGAGATAAGATTCAGGTAGGTTGGGTCCTGCGAAAACGTATTTGAGTGAGGGCTTTATGTTAGTCTCTTGTTTTGTTTGCCATATATTATCAAACTTGATGAAAACACACAAGGATAAGTGCTGTCATCTCCAGCTTGTGGAGAAAGGAGCCATTCTAGGTTCTTGACACTCATTCACGCACCAGGTCCTTTTACTCTCTCTTTTTTGAGGAAGTTCACAAACTTCCACTCTCCTTCCCCTCGTGTTTCTTTCTCTCTGAAAACCCGCAACTCAGATTGATCGCGAGCATGTCAAAGCGTAAATTCCAGTCGTCTTCTAGTTCTCGAGAGAGCCACAGGATGTATCTGAATGGTCATCTTCTTTTTTGACTCTGCGTTGCTCAGACGTCACGGCTCTGTCTGGCCGCCTTCAATGACCCACACGAGCCTGTTGAGCCTCATTATACCTGTTGCCGACTGGTTTGGCCGAGTCAATTATACGCCGGAGTTCCTTCCTTTCGTCTTCCGACAATTCCACTTTCCGTGACGCAAAGTTCTCCTCCAGCCGCGTAGACTTGGTTGTGCCAGGGATGGCGATCATGCCTTGGGCCGCGACCCATGCCAGAGCGATTTGAGTTAGGGTACAACCCTTGCGCGTTGCCAGCTTCTTGATTTCGACGACAATCGCCTTATTCTTGTAGAAGTTCTCACCTTGAAACTTGGGAACTGCGACCTTGATTTCAGCGCATGTCGAATTATTGAGAGAGGAATGGGACATAGCAGTGACGTACCAGTGCGACGGAAGTCATCGGGGGCAAAGTCGTCGGGAGTCTGGTAAGGGAAGTCATCTACGAGCCAACCGTGGCCGAGAGGGCTGTATGCCACGTAGGCGATGCCCAATTCCTTTGCTGCGTCGATCAAGCCGTCCGTCTCATGGAGAGTCTCGAAGGCGGAGTATTCAGCTTGGAGGGCATCGATCTTGGCGACTATTGCTGCGTCAATAGAGGTCCCGCATTGGTGAGCCAGACATCGCTTACTGGAGTTGGCTTTGCGCAGTGTCGCTGCTGAGCATTCTGATAGGCCAATGTATTTGGTTTTGCCCTGCTTGCGAAGGTTGTCCAGCGCTGGGATGGACTCCTCGAGCGGAGTGTCTACCGAACCTGTTAGTCATAAGACAGACGTTGCGAGGACCGGACGCACTTGGGTCAATGCGGTGCAGATAGTAAAGGTCAGGCGTGAAACCGAGCCGTTCGATAGTTCCTTCAATGTACTCGTTGATGTGAGAGGCGGAGTTGGTCACACTCATGTCGCCAAAGGCAGCAATGCCGCACTTGGATGCCACTATCATGTACACTGATCAGACATTTGGGCAAGACGCCGAATAACTGTGGTTATAGTGACGGACACTTACAAAAGACTTTATCGCGGACGTTGTGCTTCCTTATGAAATCTCCCAGAAGCTTTTCGTTGACACCTGCCTGGTAAACCACCTACGGGTAGCGTCAGATTTACCGCTCAAATCGTCTGACTGGTGGATGCGATCCACTTACTGCTGTATCCCAGAATGTGCAGCCAAGTTCGATCGCCTTGAGGAGAACAGGCTCAGCCTGTTCGAGCGTCAGGTTGCTGCCAAGACCAAAGCTGATACCCATGGCGCCGAAGCCGGGCGACGTGACTTGGATGTCGGCGAACGGAAGTGTGTAGACCATTTTGAGCAGTAAGATTTAGCAGATTTATCTTGTTGTTGATTTTCAAATTCTCTCGCGAGCTGGTGAGTGACCTGTTATTTATTTGCGACCGCTGTGTTCGACACAATTGACTCCATCTACATACTCTCGGGGTTAAGAAGCGTAGCTCAGACTCTCGATTCAATGGGCTGGTGAAAGCGATTGGCCCCTCTACCGCCCTGGACTTAAGAGTTTATCTCCAGTGGCCCCCCTCAGGAGTCGGCTCTCCAACTCGCAGGGAGTGGGTACTTGGTGTCTGGCGTACAGTTTGCAGTGGCGAGCGTGGGGCCATCAATATTATCGCCAGAGGGAGGCATTCCACCAGGAACGCGGTTCGATCCTGCAAATCTGAGGGTGAATTGTCATCCGTTCGGGCTCCGTTGCGATGAACTCCATGTGAGGGAACGGCCGAAATACACATCATCAATACGACGTTGACTGGCATTCGAACATTCGCCAGCATGGTTCAGTTGTTGATCTCACGCTGATTCGATCAGGAGGCGACCCCAGGAGTGTCATTCGAACGAAGCACTTTCACCATCCAAGACCCTGCACACACACGTACACACACGACGACCATTGTTCCAAAGCGAGTCGAAACTTGGTAAAGTGCGTTGTTGAGACTATTGTTGCCTGATTACAGTCAATGCTTTGCTACGAGGAAAGTCCATTTCAGGGGAGACGTCTCCCTTTTTAGCTCACCTAGAATGTCAAATCTAGTTGAGTACTGTTTGAGCGTGTTGCTCGTAAGCTACGTCGACCAACATGGCTGGGGTTATGACAAGAATGGATTGTAGGCCAAGGGAGCAATAGACAATGCCATTTCTTTGTTGCAAAAAGGGCGGGGAGGCTTTTCATGATGTAGCGATCAGGTTAGTCGGGAAGTAGCCTATTCTCTGCGGACTTGCGGACTTTGTCGAGCTTGGTAGCGGTCATTCATCCGTGCCGTCACCGCGGGAAGCATGTGGGCTCGGGGTGATGTTAGCAGCCAGCACAAGCATTAGCCAACCATGGCAAAAAGATTCCGAAGGTATATTAACAAGCAAATCAGCTTTGCGGATGGACTTTGCGCCGTCTTCTTTTCAGAGAAAGCCTCCGATTATCAAGCAGCATGTTCGGCAGGGCATCAACCGTTTGCCGCATTTACAGTTCTCCGTTGTAGTGTTTTTGTTGAACCATCACACACGACCCCAGCCCCGACTCAGTCGCTCCTTGATTGGACAATCAATACTCGAAACCTCTCCACGCTGTAAGCCTGGTGCATTAGCGTCGTTGGTGGTTTATGCCCCCCATCAAGGGCTTGTCATCGTGCCACGGGGCTGTCACCTGTCTATCTCCCCGGTCCTCGACTTATCGCTACGGTAAACTGATTTTAAGTCCGCCAGGGCGGTCTGGCCTTGACTCGCGCCGCAGCCGTCAGGCCCGTCAAGTGGAGTCGTGGTGCTGGTTTGGCTGCAGTAGCTGCGGAACGGCGTCCATGACATCAGCCCGAAATAATTCGCTCGGGTCCAAGCCTGGCCATACCTATCACCGGCCGCGTCACAAACGTAGATGAGCAGGTAGCATCCATGGTAGCTAAACCGGAGACCGGCCGGGGATGAAACATCCTGGACATGGGTGGTCAACAGTATATAGGCTCGGGGTACTGGTCACCAGGAAATGGGTATTCTGAGACCACCATCTGCACAATTGACTCTATATCCTCGAACTCGACATCGATTTACTCATCCCGAACTCCACGACACTACAACCACCATGAGCGACTATAAGTTTGAGGGATGGCTTGGCCACGACGCTTCAAGCGCTGAAGGCAAGATGGTCTGGGGCGAATTCGAGCCCAAGAAGTGGACTGAGGAAGACGTTGACATTCAAGTCTCCCACTGCGGCATCTGCGGTTCTGACTTGCACACTTTGAAGTCTGGCTGGTTCCCCACTCCCTACCGTGAGTTTGACAACAGCCCGACAAGAGGCCCATCTAGTTGGGAAATTTCCTCGACGCTTGGTCCAAGACGTACCCGTTCTTTCTGACCCGGAACATAGCGTGCTGCGTTGGCCACGAAATCGTCGGCAAAGCTGTCCGCGTAGGCCAGAACGTCAAGAACATCAAGGTCGGTGACCGCGTCGGCGTTGGCGCTCAGGCACGAAGCTGCCTACAGGACGACTGCCTTCAGTGCTCCAATGGCCAAGAAAACTACTGCAACCGCGGGATGGTGAGCCTCCCCCCCCCCCCCGGAAACCCCCACCCACATGCAGCCCCCCTTGCCCCATGTGCATCATGGCCCGGGGCCGAAGAATATCGGGAGTCGGAGATGTCTTCTCATGATCTGACACGTCACTTCTTAACAGGTCAGCACGTATGGCTCTGTGTACCCTGGTGACGAGGGCAAGTCCTACGGTGGTTATGCGGACTACAACCGTACCAACGGGCGTTTCGTCGTCAAGATCCCAGACGGTCTGTCCTCCGAGTCCGCGGCACCCATGCTGTGCGGCGGTATCACCGTATTCGCACCCCTGCGGAAGAACGGCTGCGGGCCTGGCAAGACGGTGGGCATTGTTGGCGTGGGCGGCCTCGGCCACTACGGAATTCTGTTCGCCAAGGCGCTGGGTGCCGACAAGGTCGTTGGAATTTCGAGAAAGGCGTCGAAGAAGGGCGATGTGCTGAGCCTTGGCGCCGATGCCTATATCGCGACGGATGACGACAAGGACTGGGCCACGGAGAATGGCCGCACCCTGGACCTGATCGTCTCGACCGTCTCGAGCCCGAAAATGCCCTTGACGGAATATCTCGGCCTCCTCAAAGTCGGCGGTACCCTCATCCAGGTTGGGTATGTTGTATCCCTGTCCCTTCCGCGCGTCGCAGATCGAGACAATGGCTGACCTTGTTCCCGCAGCGCACCCGACGGCGGAGAGCTCCCTCCCATCAACGCCTTCACACTGCTGGCCAACGAGTACAAGATTGGCGGCAGCGGTATCGGTTCACCATCTGATATTGCGGAGATGCTCCAGCTCGCGGCCGACAAGAAGATCGAGTCGTGGGTCGAGACGAGGCCGCTCAAGGAAGCCAACCAGGCCATCCTCGACATGGAGGCTGGTAAGGCCCGGTTCAGATACGTGCTAGTCAACGAGAAGCACGCCTAAATAGATTGAGCACTTCCTGTACAAGACAAGCAAATGTACGTGACAACCACAAAGTATACACTCGGGTGGACGAGTGAAAATGAAGTAAAACTTCCCCATGTCATATTCAAAAAATGCTACGCTATGCTGGTGGTGGTGAGGTACTCTACCTACGTTGAGCCCACATCGGATCAACGCCTCGCCTACCAAGTGAGAAGAAAAACGAGGCCAACGGCACACTCGCCACTTATGCTGCCCTTCATGGCCTCCAGCTCCCATTACTGTTGTACTGCTCCGGTACCGGCGACCCAGGCATCTCCACAGCATGATGCACAGCCGACGGTTGGTTCGGCACGGGAGCCGTGTCAACCGCAACAGAGGCAAGCTCGTAAACGCCCGGATCCTGCCCATAGCCGTGTCCCACTGGCACGGCTCCCTGCGGCCCTGATGTCGGCGGCGGCGGCGAGAGGTGCCCCCCCGTCCAGGCCTGATCGGGATGTTGGCCCCAAGACTGGTGCGCCTGCGGCGGCGATGCCCACGAAGATGGGGGATACCCGGGGCTGGTGCCGCCCGCGCTCGTCAGCTCCGACACGGGCCGCCACTTCTTGGCCTCGGCCTCGGCCTCGGCGGCCTGCTGCTCCGGCGTCGCCGCAAACTCGGGGCTTCCTGTCCGCAGACCGCCCTGGCCGCCGCCACCGGCATGCCACACGCCCGCCGCGCCGAGCATGGGTCGCGCCTCGTCGTGCGCCTTGCGGCTGCGCCTCGACCTCCATGCCATGGCCGCGAAGCCGATGAAGACGGCGGCGCCGACAGCAGACCCGATGCCGATGCCTGCCTTGGCGCCTGTCGAGAGACCCGTGTCTACAGGCACATCGGAGGGAGCGCTGGTTTCGCTGCTGGCGGCCGTTGTTGTCGTCGTCGTCGAGCCCGTGGCAGAGGGCGAGCTCCTTGTCGTCGTTGCCGTCGCGGCGATGCTGCTCGCCCTGGCACCGAGGGCCATGAACTCGGCTTGAGAGATGCTCACTTCGGTACCGGAATCGCTGCAGGCTGTGCGCATTGTGGTGTAGACGGTGAGCAGGGTGTCTGGCGCGTCGGTGCCGATGCAGGTCGCGGCGTTTGTGACGAAGTCGCCGCCATTGCTGCAGAGGCAGCGGTTGTTGGAGGGGACATCGTCGCCCTTACATTTGGAGCGGTCGCTGGCGTCGAGGAGACAAGGTCGCGCCGAGGAGGGGTAGAGGCTGAAGTCGTTGTCGGGGGTTTGGGCGAGGGACGGGGATACGAGGAGGATGAGAGAGGCCACGAAGGCGAGTCTCCTTCGTGCGCGAGACATTGTCGTGATTGACGTGGTCGTGTCGATGAAGAGGCGTGTAAAGAAGGTCGTGATAATAGAATGCGCCTTATGATGACTTTACTGGCAGTAGCTTCAGACCGTATTCGAATACTGCGCTGTATGGACTGCAGATCGTCTGATTGCGCTCAGGCCTAATGTCGTTTACGTCGTTCAGTTTTTCGTCGATGGCCTTGATTCCACGGTCCAGTTCATCGGTTCGAGAAGCCTCAATTGAACATCAACATGAGCATCAAGGGGTTTGGGAAAAAGGAGTAAATCCCACAACCACCCGAGAAATGGGAACCGGCTCAGTAGAAAAGAGAAAAACATGACCCGTTCCGATGGTCAAATTAGCCCAAAGCTTGTCGCTCGTCCCCCCCAAAAGCAGGGCTCAGCCTGGCAACATTCTCAGCCCAGGGACCATCGTGGTGATGGATGGTTCTCTTCATTCGCACCTTTCCGATCTCCTGTCCCCTCCAACTCGATCCGTCGTCAAGGCTAGGTAAGGGGGGCTGAGTCCTCCCGGACCGTGGGGCTCAGTGCTTGAAAGTGCTGACAGCACCAGGGCTCTGCGTGCTCTCCACGCCTTCAGCCTCCGCCTCGGGGGTGTCCTCCAGTCCTGTCTGTTGGCTTTCCTGCGGGCTTCCCCTTACCTCGTATTTTTAGCACTACCACTAGCTGAGGTGCCGGCTCCTCCCACCTCCAAGGGTCTTGGCTGTCGATGCTTGGGTGATTTTGCTGTGTTGGCAGCCCGGCTCCAGCCACAGCGGAGATGGGCTCCGGCTTGTTTGCCTGCGTGCCATGATTTCGCTTCGCGATCACTTCGTGGTGGACGAACAACGAAGTCTCCGATGTACGGAAGCGGTGTCGACAAGCGCCGTTTTCACCGGCTCGTCGCACGTCTGGGAACGACTCTGGCGCGAAGCCGTTTCAAGGGATTCCCAACGCTAGGGCCTCCGGAGGGATTAAGGAATGCTGTCGCACAGGAGAAGCCCAATAACGCCTCGTCATCTTACCGTTGTCAATCTGGCAACTGAAACTAGTTCCCGAAAGCGTCATCACAAAGCAAAACGATCATTCCGCTCCGTCCTGGCGATGGATCGCGGCATCCTGGATCCTGCTGACGGACGAGACCCCTGCCTTGCTCTGCCCCACGAGCCGCAACGGACTGTCAGATTCTGACGTCTCCAATCTCGAACGGGCCAGGACGCATCAATCACTCGTGGGGCGCTGGCTATTGGACTGCTCGCTCTTGAGGAAGGGCCCACTTTGGCTTGTAGGATGAAGCTGGTTGAAGATCGATCACCAATTTGCGACGACCAACCACACGCTTTCTGTGTCCAGCGGTTGCGCAGTGTTCAGCCCGTTCGGCAGACTGGTAAGATGGCAAGATGAAGAAAAAAAAAAGAAGTCATTATTTCGTCAGACAAATCATGCTCCTCTCTGGCAAAACCATGTCTTGACTACACCATCCTCGTAACAGTTCCTAAGCCTTCTCCTGCCCAACAGCAACCAACCTCCCGACAACGAGATATTTGCTCTCGAACCTCTCCTCCCAGCCCTGCAGCGCCTCCATCTCCTCAGCACCAAGCCCCTCGAGCGTGTCAAGCGGCCCGTCGAGATCCTTGGTCAGCATGTCCTCGTCGAAGCTCCCACACGCGAGGCCCCGCGAGGCGTCGCGGCCGGCAAAGTTGGCATAGGGTCCTTCAGGCCCGTAAAAGTTGCGCCCGCTCGAGACGTCAAAGACGCGGCCGCGGACGGCAAGGTAGACGGGGCTGTTGTCTTTGCCTGTGAAGGGGAGGAGCGTGTGCGGTGTGAAGGTTCGGAAGACGGTGGCTGGGGGTTCGCGGGGCAGAGTCTGCGGCGCCGAGGGGCGGAAGAGGGAGTAGAGGGTGTAGAGGACGAGGAGGGCGACGAGGCCGTTGAGGGGGGTCAGGAAGGCGCCGCTGGAGAGAGAGAGAGAGACTTTTGTCAGTTTGAGGATGGACCGAGGGTCGAGGAGGGGTAGACGGACCTGGAGGGTTCTTTGGCCGCTTCTTGCGACATGCGCTGCTCGACGTAATCCATGGTTTGGCGCTTCAATCCCTTGCGCAGTCAGTGTACGAGAAGGCCGAGAAACGTCGATGTTTTGGAAGGATGGTCGGAAGGGTCGGGGCTGTGATGCTCGTGGTGATGATTTGGCATTTCGACACCTAAGATCTGTCTTGCATCAGCACATTGACAGAGTCCCCCACTTCTGGGTGTCGCGGAGCTTCCGACCAATCAAAATGACTGGATTGAGGCTCATCACGTGATAAGGACATGATCATCTACGCCTGATCATTCTTGATAATAGCGATCTTAGTTTAAACGCCTGCCCATTTATCCTGACTTATTCCAGGAATTCCTTACGGATCTTATTATATCATGTGAATTCTGTCTCTCGGTCAGATGCCCCCACGAAACTCCTACTCTGCCCCCGCATGGCATCGACCGATTGAGGAATAGTCGAATAAGCTGCTGAAGGGCTTGAGGCGGTCACTGCGATCCCCCTTATTATTCACGACAAGCCACCTGTCAGGCAGCATATGAATGGATCCAATCATGAGGCTAAGTTTGCTTCATGCATTTTGACGGAAAAAGAACTCCATGAGGCAAAGAGGACCTCGGGGTGAATCCTCGACACGACTATGGTCAAGCCTCACTATGGTCTAATCCTTTGACCTCGGCGGTTCCTTTGAGATCAGCCTTTGTTTTCGGTCTTTGACCCGGACGCATGAAATCTCAAATTCATCCTCCCAAGCCTCTCGATGTTGGATAAGTACCTTCTGAGCGCACGTCGCGATTCGCCTTCGCAGCTGTTTTTCATCCTTCACCCTCTTGCGCTTTGCTTTCCTTTCGAGGAACCAAACCTCTTGACTCCTGACTAGACAGTATCTGGTAACGTTCATCATGGCCTCAGAAAAATCATCCAACTTGCCTCCGGGCCAAAGCAAGAATATCGCCAACTGGTCCGCCTTCCGCCGCCGTTATCCCCCTCTGCCCTCAGCACGCAATCCTCCTCGTGCTTCGCCCCGAAGACTACTCCCCCCTCGCCGCGAGGGCCTAGAACGTGGCAAAGGCATCGTCGTCAAGGTTGGCGACTCGTTCTTCACGCTCAGCAGGCTCCAAGGTCTCATTGAGAGCGCCCATACCAATGGCAAAATTCCCCGCCGCGTTGTCTTGCCACGCGACTCGCTTGCTGCAGCAGCCATGGTCGAGCGTTGGAAAGATGTCATTATCGAGACCCGCCAAGCCGAGCTGGAGGCTGCTCTCAAGGCCATCACGGAAGCAGAGAAGAATGCGGCTGCCGTCAGAGCAACTGCTCAGGATGGCGTGAACGACGCGCCGCAGACGAAGCGTCCATTTTTGTGGGCGACTGTTCGGACAAGGAGCAGCTCTATTTGGCTGCCCATGGAGACCACGACAGCGCCTGCGCGGTTGAAGAAGTTTCTCCGCAAGGTACCGATCCGACCAGTGTTCGAAAGGTCGGCTCGCAATGTACCCGCTGCCCCGAAGATGCCCATGAGGAAACCTGTCAGTGAACAGCCTGTCTGCCCGCCACTTTTCCCCGAGAGTCTCGCAAACAAAACACCAACGCCCCAGGTTACAGCCCACAAGACCTCGACGGCGAAGACGCTGGCTGTCAAAGGCACGAATCTGACACCAGCCGCCTTAACAAAAGCCACTCAAGTGCTAGATCTTGTTACGCCAATCACCTCCGAACCAGCGAGCAAGACGACAGTCGATAGAGCGCCAGCAGCTTCGAAGGACCGTCCTTCACAAGAAAACATCAAACCACCGGCGACCAAGCCATATGCGACTGAAAGGGTGACAAAAAAGAAGCCAGCCAGTCAGGCGCCAGTTCAGGCAACTAGCCAGCAGCAATATCAACTACTAGGGATGCCAAGCCTTCAGGTGCCAGCCGCGTGGAAGACAAAAAAAGAGATGACACCAGTCAACCCGCTTCTAGCCAACTATAACCACATTAGCCGGGACGTGCCAGTCAGCTCACAACCATACGTGCGGAAGACAGCTACCGATTCATCAGCTCAGAGCCTGGCCAGTACACCTCCGACAAGGAAGACACCAAGCAACAGCGTGGTCAAACCCAGAACGTCGACCGGTTCAACGCCAGCTTCCAAGCTCCGAATTTCCAAAACCTCATAAGGTTGCCACCAAGAAGGAACTGACCAACAGTATAATTATTGGAACGAACTTTGGTTGCCGCAGTTACGAATAACTCTCAAGCTGCGAGACAGCTTAAAGGGTAAAGTCTCGCTTGAGCACGTGTCGAGAGGTTTACATTCATGATGAATGGGCTCTATCAGGTGTGGAAAGGACGTTAACTTCCACTCTTAGCTGCATTATTGAGGTTGACCTTTGGTAAGGGCGGAGGGGAATGTCTATTCTCAAGTCCATGTATTTATGGCATGGGGCAAGCAGTGGTTTGTTGGCGATTCTAGTCATGTTATACCGATAATAAAGCCATGATAGACGCTTGGCATTGATGTCAACTCACTTTGAAATACTCATCTTTTTCATCTTTTAAAATGTGTCGCCGTCTCCTTCTTGCGCCGTGCTGTCTTTCCTCGAAGGCACGCTTTAATAGCTCAACTGGCCGCCGCAATCGCCATTTCCCTCTCCACAACAGCCAGGGCCGGCTCTTTGTCCGCCTCAGCACCCGCAATCTCCTCCCTCGCACCGAAATCATCCCGTCCGCTCTCAAATACCTTCTCGAAATCATACTCGCTCCAACGGATAATGGGGCACAGGCCGGCAAACTTCCACACGCCGTCGATCTTGCGATACCAGTGTTTGTTATAGCTGTGCGCATGCCCCTTGACGAGAACCTCCGACATGCTGGCGTCGCGGTATTTCTGGTGCGGCACGCGCAGCTGGTGGTGGCCCACCACCTCCGTGTCCGAGATGCGCTCCCAGCGGGTGCCGCCGATAAAATGCTGCGTCTTGAGGAGGGGGTCGCCGAGGACGCTCGGGGACGAGATCATGGCGAGAAACTCGGAAGCGGGCATGGCCTCCCAAATCTTGTCTAGGAACGAGCGGTAGTCGATCTGTCACTTCAGGGTCAGAATTGTCAAGTCACATATGCTTTGGGGGACGACAAGACATACGCGGAGCTCTGGGGCGATGCACCGGGACAGGCGGTCCCAGTCCTTGGAGTCATAGCTGTCTGCCCACTCGAAGCAGGCCGTTGTGAGGCCGAGGAAGTCCTCGAAGGTGATGTTGGCGGGGTTAGGTGCTGCTGCCATGGTGGACGCTGAAGTTTGCTCTGGGTGGTGGCGCGGGTGTCGAGTTCTTGCAGCTGCAGATAGTTGGAAATCTGAGCTTCAAATAGGTATTCGTGCATTTTCCTTGACCACTGTCATCTTTTGTATGGTTAGAAATATTGAATTCGAGACGACTTGACCGCCCTTATGACCGTGGCAGCGGTCGGACTCCGGCGGAGCTGCGGAGATCCACTCCGGAGGCCGGCACCTTGTCTTCGGACTTGGGTGGGGAGAGCCGAAGTCGCATTTGGCCCCGATATCGTGTAGTTACGTCGCGCTCGGAAATGGTTCCCGTCAACTAAACTGCATACTGCGAGCTGGAGTCTGTTTCAATGCAAGGGCGGGCGACAGGCACGACATAAATGACGGACGGTCACCACTGCGTCACACCACAGTGCCAAAGGAGCGTCGAGTATGCTCCATCGGTCACAAGAGTCACGGTCGGTCACGATGGGACAATCTCGGTCCCGAAATCGGAATCTGGGATTCACTTGCGAGATGTACCAATCATACCAGTGCTACCGTAACACATGCTGAACCTAGTCACCCACTCTCGAGCGCACTCGCAGAGCACCCGAGCCCGACGCAGCACTTGCAACACGGAATGTACCTCCCTCTGCTATGGCATCATCATTCGATGC